TCTCTCTCTCTCTCTCTTTTTTTCTCTCTCTCTCTCCCCCTCCCCCTCCCTCTCCCACTCTCTCCTCCCTCTCTCATCCTTCCTCCCTTTCTCTCACTCTCACTCCGCTGGAACGCGCTGCTCTCCATCACCCCCACGCACGCGATGTCGGCTATTAGCCCCCCCCCCCTCTCTTTCTCTCTCTCTCTCTCTGCGTGGGAGATGCGCCTCCCATGCCGCTGCCTCTATGCCGGCATGTCGGATGCGATTTGGGGGACGCGAGGGGGGGATGGAAGGGGATGATTCCCACGTCCATTATCGAGATTATGATTAGTCGTCATCGCCATCTCCAGTGCAGGAACAACGTCATTCTGATTGATCGCGTAGCATGGAGGGTGCGAGCAGGGAGTTGCTGCCAGTGCCGGTTGGAAAATGAGAAGGTTGCAAGTGATCCTTTTAAAGAGGTCTTTTTGTCGCTTCAGATGTAACAACCAAAATTTGTCGGTCAAAAGTGGAACTTCCCATCATTGATTATGTTTCCTTACTTCTTATGCTGTTTTGAGTATTTTTCAACACATTTTAAATTTTGCTGTTTTTTTACAATGACGGAAATATGCATAATTTCTTAAAATCTTGTGAGTGTTTTCACAGCTTTAAGTGTGTGATTGCGTCTGTTCCAGGCTGCGTCACGCCTCGCTGGTGGTGGTGCCGTCGCCGGAGCCGGCGCGCAAGCCCTGGCGCCTGGCGCGCACCCGGCTGGGGCCTCCGCCCAAGCGGCTGCTGCTCACGGGCGGGGGCGCGCTCGGAGCTCTGGGCGCGCTGGACCACGAGCTCGACCAGCGTGGGGGACACGACGCGGCCGGCGCCGAGGAGCGCTGGCAGCCGCGGCGCCGGTCCTACCACTGCCGCGCCTGCGGCCGCGCCTTCCGCTACGCCTGCAACCTGCGCGCCCACGAGACGGCGCACGCCCGCGCGCCCGCCGCCGCCTTCTCCTGCCCGGAGTGCCGCGCCGCCTTCCCGCAGGTGAGCGACCGTGGTTAGGTTGGGTTAGGTTAGGTTGGGTAAGGTTGGGTTAGGTTCGGTTGAGCTGGGTTAAGCTGGGTTGGGTTAGGTTAGATTGGGTTGGGTTGGGTTGAGCTGCGTTAAGCTGGGTTGGGTTGGGTTAGGTTGGGTTAGGTTGGGTTCGGTTGGGCTGGTTGGGTTGGGTTAGGTTAGGTTAGGCTGGGTGGGGTTGGGTTGGGGTTGGGTGGGGTTGGGTTGGGTTCAGCAGGTTGGGTTCAGCAGGTTGGGTTATTGGGTTAGGTTGGGTTGGTTCCCGGTGTGGTACGCTGGTGTGAAGGTTGGGTCGGAGTGGGTTGGGGTGGGTTTGGTTGGCTTGGTTTAGGTTTAGGCAGATTGGGTTGGATTGGGATCGTTGGGCAAGGTTGGGGTGGATAGGGTTATGTTGGGTGTTTGGTTATCTTTGATCGGGTTATGTGATGTTAAGTTTGGGTAAGTTGTGGTTGGCCGCGGTTCGGTTTGATTAGACCACTCTATGCTAGAGTCTACTGTACTCGGCTGTTACTCTATGCCACCACCTCACTTGACGTTCAAGCTCCTGACCGGCTTTCCGCTCTCCCGCAGGCCCACCAGCTCACGGAGCACCTCCGCGAGCACGCCGTGCTGCAGCAGCAGGTGCAGGCGCAGGAGCAGATGGCTCGGCAGATGGAGGAGCAGATGCTGATGCAGCAGCAGCTCGAGGAGCAGTTCATGATCCAGCAGGCGTACATCACGCAGACGGCGCTGGGCGCGAGCCTGGGGCTGGGCTGGGGCGCGCACACGGCCGCGCCTGCGCCCACGCCCATCCGCTGCGTGTGCCTCGAGTGCGGGCGCGAGTTCCTGCAGCGCAGCGCGCTCCGGCAGCACATGAAGGAGCACGAGCGGCTGGAGCGGCGCAGCCGGCCGCGCACCCGCAGCCCCCGGCGCCGCAGGGTGGCGCTGCCGCCCGCGCTCGGCCCCGCGGCCGCGACCCCGACGCACCAGGCGGCGCCGCCGCCGCCCTTCTTCCGCTGCGGGCTGGCCGGGTGCGCGGCCAGCTTCGACGCGCCGCAGGCCCTGCACGCCCACCGCGCCCTGCACACCCGCAGGAAGCCCTTCCACTGCTCGCAGTGCCCCGCCGACTTCAGCAACCCCTGGAACCTGGCGCGCCACTACAAGGAGCACCTGCGCCACCTGTGCGTCGTCAGCCTCAGCGACCTCCGCTGCAACGTCTGCAACGAAAACTTTCGCGACGACGAGCTGCAGCTGCGTCGCCACCGCGCCCTGCACAAGGACGTGCGGTTCTGCAGGTAGGCCGGGATAAATATTTCTAATTTTTATTGTTTA